ATGTTTTGCAGATATTCTCCTGCCTCATGGCATTCTTCCTTAGTAACATGTTGGAGACCCATTTTCTCTCGACAGGAGCTTTTGAGATTTCATTGAATGGTAATGTCATTTGGATGGCCTCTACAGTTGGGGGGGAAAAATGAAAGTATGTGAACATTGTATGTATGTCAAAGAAGCATCACTATTTCTCTCTGGTTTATTAGATGTACCAATTTGGTCCAAGTTGCAATCAGGATATGTGCCCAGCATTCAGGAGCTTTTCCAGATCTTGGATAACCACCTTAAGATGAATCAGGTCGACAAGATCAACTTTCCCTCACCGTAGTGCTGTTGTTTTTGCCAAGAGACGGGTGAGTGGTGAAACCTGTACAATGATGGCAGCATGTATGTCACAGCATGTACAAACATAGCAGGTGTTTAACAATAACTTTGTTGTTGTTTTCAGTACAGGATTGTCTCTAGGCTTAGAGGTTATTTGCAAATTTTGGTTCTGTTGCTAAAATAGTATTTCAGTGTTGAATTTACGATACTTAATTACAATACAATAATTTTTCAAAAAAGTAATGTTTATTTGTTATGCATGTTTATTAAAAACAAGTTTTGTAATAACCAATTGTTCTGGTCCGGACCTTTGACACTGATGAAAATTCAGATTTGGACCTTTGAATGTAGACTTTGAGAACCCCTGGTCTAGAGTCTTGTGTCTCCAATGTATGTACTTCAGTAGGGCTGCACAATTATGACAAAAATCATAATTGTTTATTATTCCCTTGGAATTGGAATTGCGATTATTAATTGCAATTATCACAATTTACATTGAATGATGTTTTGAATAGATTTATACCATTGTTACCATTGAAGCAACTGCATGCCATATTATTATATAAACAATTCTTCCTGAAAAATTGTTATTGCTTTTCTATAGCGTTAAGCCTCAAATGTCAATTATACATTGGTTTGGTTTCTTCTTTAAATTAAAAAAAAAAAAAATATGCATGTTATTATAATGTTATTCAAAAACTAAAATTAAAACAATGGAAAAACCCTAGAGAGAAGAGAAAGAAAAAAAAACATATATATATATATATATATATATATATTCATAGTAGTTAATGTTATACTAAAATGGAAAAAAACTTAAGATAACCTGTAGAAAGAAAAAACACACAATTGCGCGTTTGAATGATTGCTTAATTTTGGCATTAGTAATTGTAATCACGATTAGAAATTCAAATAATTGTGAAGCCCTATACTTCAGTAAAAACTATTTAAAAAACGGCTTTTGTCAAACTACAACGCTGTGTCGAACAACATGCATAATTCAACACAACAGCAGCGATAAGTGTCCTAATGTCCTCTGCAGGTCTCCGGAGCTGTTTGTCTGGTCAGTGGGACTGTGGACTGTGGCATAATGAAGGCCTGCGCTGCAAACAGCACGCTGTTGGCACAGGCTCGATGCTCGGCCACCACACACACTCTTTCTGCCCAGCGACACACCTTTGGATCGACTACATCTCTTCAGAGCATTAAACGTGCATTCATAGTGTGAGAGTCATGTGTGAACTAAAGGCACTACAATTAATTTTTATGCTGAAGGTTTTTTTTTTTTTGATCAGGGTTCTTTTTGTAAGAAGTGCTTTCAGCTGAAATTGAATGGAATGTTCCATGTTTCTCAAGGGCAACTGTGATGTTTTCTTAATGTACATGTCTTTTAATGACCTTTAACATGATTATTTGTTTGCACTGGTGTAGACTGTACTGTACTCGGGGTGTTGGACTTTTTTAATTAGTGGGAATGTTTGCGTACTGCAGAAACATGCAGTTTTGTTAGAGTTTGCTAGATGACTTTTTTTTTTTTTGATGCTTGAAATTGTTAATTTTTTGTCATGTTTATCACAGGTTTGCTGGTTAGATTCATAAGTACAGCATGTGCTTGTGGAGGGAATTAAGGCCAGATCTTCCTCCCTTCTGCTTAAACTTTAACCGAATACATTAGCACTGCCAGAGTAATCTGTGAAATCAGCGTAACTCTTCAGATCGCTGCAGTCGTCTTGATGGTGTGATTGAGTGTTGCATATCAGAAGATGTGAATGGTATTTCCAAAGATTCCCGCTATTTTTCCAGCTCTCCATATAGATGTGACGGTAAACAGTGTACCCCTTACATTTTAGTGTACCTCTCTGTGAATTTGTAACAAAAGTGATACTAATAGTAGGGATTAAGTTGCATCGAGAGAAGACACTTTACTCTTATTTCACAGTGATGTAAAATAAAGATTAAAATATTTAAAAAAAGTTGTGATTGTGAATTGTTCCTAATCTATTTTCATGTCATTGAGATTAACAACAACAAGATTGTTAATGTTTGTGTGTGTGTGATTGTACTCCACTCTCTTAAGCCTTCTCAGGTTTTGTAGTCTATTGTGATAGTTGTGCATGGATTACCGGTTTATCCTGAGCAGTTTACGGTTCTCTTCTATTTTATTTCTTCTTTTTATTATTTTATGATTTTAGGACTGTTTACTGATTCTGTAAGCGGCATGTTAGCACAACTGTATCATGAAACTGAACCATAGGCTTACAAAGCTAATCTTGGAATAGTTAACATAAGGGTCATAATCATTCATCATGTCTTGAGTATCTAAACTTAAAGCAAAATGGAAGGAATGAACATACAGTTCTTCACTACAAAAAAATATGTTGGTTTGGTCACCGTCCCACCTGTGGGACACTAATCTTGGAATAGTTAACATAAGGGTCATAATCATTCATCATGTCTTGAGTATCTAAACTTCAAGCAAAATGGAAGGAATGAACATACAGTTCTTCACTACAAAAAAATGTTGGTTTGGTCACCGTCCCACCTGTGGGACGCTTGGCGCTCTTTTTCTTCTTGTCCTTTTTATCTATCAAATCATTTAGTAATCATCATAAAATAGATGTCATTTGAAAGCTTAGAAGCCCAAGATTCATCCTGTGAAAACCATTTTGAAATCGGACATTGCGTTACCATGGAAATGGTACTTTAAAATCTTTTGGCGGTCTCCTCTCCCTAAGTGGTCAGTGTCAAGTGTCATATTACAAAATGCATTACGGTCTTTTAGAATCAAACCTTTTTATAATCTTGACAAATAACATATCATTGGAAAGGTCTGAGCCTCAGGATTCCATATTTGGTGGTTATTTTGAGATATAAGTAATATTGACAGAGAAATCTAGACATTTGTGACAGAAACATGCATAAAAAAATTCAATGGAGTTTGGATGGCTGTTTGTGGTATAACGCCCTAAATAAACTCACAGGAACCTCCCATTTTTTTCATATCAACTTCAAATTTGGAACATAGCTTATTTAGACATAAGGCTTTAATTTTATACCAATTTTAGAGTAAAACCTGTTATGTAAAATATTTATTATATATAAAATACAATTAATATAGTGTATTTTATTTACAGTAAATTTAAACTTCTATAACTTTTTGATACTTTTTTTGACAATTTTTTGCAATCTGCTGATTTTCTTCAAAAAGAGACCAACCGTAGGTCTGTATTCCAAAGTGTTACAACAATTTAAGTTTGGATAGTGCACTTTCATGCCTATTTTAAAAAATGGGGGGTGACAGTTAAGGGGTTAAGTTGCTCTTTAAGGTGTGTGTGTGTGTGTGTGTGTGTGTGTGTGTGTGTGTGTTTGCGCACTAAAAACTGAACATTCATGTACAACTGTACTTCACAATTGTCTGTGTAAGACCAGAAAAAAAAGTGTTGCTGAGGAACATACTACATATATTAACTCATGTTTTGAAGACATCTTTCAGCTTTGAACTAGGCTCTTGTCTGATTTCATCACATGACATCAGGCCCATATATGTGGGCTATTATTTGTGAAAGAAGAATACAGAATATGGTATATAGTATAGTGTCTCTGCTTTGTTGTACAGTTCACATTTTCCCTAATATTACTGCTGTCATCTAACAAGACTAACTGCCCCATCTAACAAGAGTGGTAGAGCTTGATAAACAGGGAGAAGTAATGTGGTGGTCAAAAAGACTTCATCTTTAAGCACTCAAAATCCTTACCAGTACTAGCCACGGAATTTGAATATCAAAACTGATTCAATTTTCTAATTATGTGCATCTCCACTGCTTCTCCTTTAGCCTTTTTAGCTTCTAGATCAGGGTTTTTCAATCTTTCAGATGCCATGGACCCCCAAATATGATCATCTTTGTGCGTAGGACCCCCAATCTACAATTTAAAAGGCATAGTTTCTTGTATAAAGACCCCATTTTCACTGTGAAAAATTAATATTATAAATATGTCTGAAATATTATTTGGAAAGTTTTAGGATTAAGGTACTTTTTCCCCCCTACTCAAAGTACCGTACTGTTAGATGCATTTATATACAGTATTGTAATCAATTTTATTTTATCTATTAAATCCTATTTTTAAATTATTAATTGATTACATTTAAATTTTTTATTCTGTTTTCCTCATAGCTGGTAGCTATTACATAATAAATGGAGACAGAATCCTTTTTTCTTATTTATTCATGATATTGCAAAATCTTTTTTTTAAATATGACACAAATAAATGGAATTTAAAGACAGATTATTGATTTATTATTTAGTCATTTAGCAGACGCTTTTATCCAAAGCGACTTACAAATGAGGACAACAGAAGCAATCTTAGTATTAAAACAACTAAAAACAGATCCAAAACTAAAAGCTAAAACTTTATAAATACTACTTATACACATTTGAAAAATAAAGAGATTAAATAAAAATGACAAATGCATACAACAAAATTTCAAAACTTAACAGATTAAACTTATTAGTTATTAAACTAGACTTAAAATATTATATTATACTTTTTTTAATAGTCCTATTATCCTATATCGTTATTTTCCTCCATTTTCTGTCCATGTTAGATGCTTGTTTTTGAATGTAATGGTGATTTATTTAAATACATACATACGGACGTACATACAGTCCCACAGGTGGCGCTGTGTTCAGAATTCTGTGTCTTACTCTACTGTATTTGCGCTGTGGCTCTAAGAGGCTGACTGTTGGAACAGTGCTGAGTATGTTACCGGCTATTCTTTAAAACTGACGATAATGTTGATTTAATACGTAACCATTTAATATAAAATTTTGTACACTAATGTATTAAATAATAATTTAATCCAACGGAAGTTTCTAGGGCACTAAGAATCAAGCTAGCTGTCAGCTAACAATGAACAGATCCTGTTAGCGAATTAGCTGCCTTTTAAAACCCTTTGACAGTTTATTTAATGAATTCTTATTCAGTATTTATTATTATTGTTAATAAAATAACACAACGCGCTCAAGTGCTGTTGTCAATGCTTACTGCACGGTTTTCTAGGAACGGCATACGTTAAAAAGTCTAGTTGGCTAAATGCGGAGATGTTTAGCTCGCTCATTTATTTTTATACGATATTTGACAAGGGTTTTAAACTTGAGAATATAGCTACAAATGATTTAAAACGAAACAACACGGTTATCTTTAGATTGAAAGACTTATTTCAATACAGTTTGTGTCTTATGACTAATCTGTGTTTTAACAGTTATTATAAGTATAGGGGACTTATCTGGTGGCTAAGTAATATTTGAAGGCATATTGGGGCTTCAACACAAGTCAACATGAGTACTGCTGTGAGTATGCATGGCCACGTGACCAGTCACGTGATTAGTTCTGATTACATTTGAACTATTGCAGCTTGTATTGCAGTTTCCCTGCTGCTAAACGAGAACAGTAATACTGTAGTAACCACTTGTGTCTCCTGTTTTTAGACACAGAGGAAAAGACGGACATCATCTGCTACATGTTCTCGCCGTGGAAACAGCAAGAGGAACCGGACCCAGATGTCTCAAACAGCGATGGAGACCATTAATGTGCTGGAAAGTGACCGAACTCACAGTGAGTTTGATCATTTTGATTTACCAGATGTTTCCTTTACCTCTGATTGATGATCAAATGATTTCACAACCTGCAGTGGTTTTGTGTAAAGACCCTGTGAACAGCAATATCAGGTTTATGCAAATCTGTGACCAATGCACAAGCGATCGGTAAGCAATGGACGTCACACTTTGCAGGAGGGATGGGCGACATTCAGAATTTAGATTTGTGAGCTGTATCCATAGAAACCTGTTTAGAGTGCACCAGTCATGTTCCAGAATTAGAAATCCCATTCATTTTCTCAACAGCGGAATTGATGGTTAAAGACAGACGAGCCGTGAGCCACAAGGTTAATCGAACAGGGTTTCTGAGGGTTTTAAAAAGGTCTTAAAGGGGTCATGAACTGAGAAATCAAATTTCCCCTTGATCTTTTGACATATAACAGGTCAGTGTACTATAAAAACATCCTGTAAGTCTCAAAACATTCTTGTTAGTTTAAAAACAGCTTTTATTGAAACCTAGATCAGAAAACGACTCGTTTTGGAGTATGCCACTTTGTGACGTAATAGTGTGGCTGGATGCCCTGGGGGTAAGCAGATAAACATCAAATTTTCATTTTTGGGTGAACTATCCCTTTAATGACATTTAATGTCCATTGTCGTTTTTTTGTTTTTGTTTGTCGTTTTATACGTTTTAACTCCAAATGACCCATGTTGTTTTCGGAGTACGTCACAGCAGCATCCATTTGTTATTTTAGTAAGCGAAACTGTTAGCCAATCACAGCAGTGGGCGTTTACTTGCGAGTCTTGAAAGTTCCCTGTCTATAAAAACAGACTGGTCAGCAGAGAGGCTCAAAAACAGGATAGAAAATAGCCTATTATTTCAAAATTAGTATGTTTTTTTAAAATGTAAAATCACACTAACATGATAAGTTAACCTCAGAGAACATTATAAAATAATACAAAAATGCAGTTCATGACCCCTTTAGAAAGTCTTAATTCGCCCTTTCACAAATTAAGGCCTTAAAGTCTAGTTATGGCATGAAATGTTGAATATCTATGGCATGAAAAAGTGAATATCTTCCTCAGGTTCCTCTGGTTTTGTTTTCCAGTATTAATATCTAATTGTCCTTAAATCAACATACATGTACTGGAGATGCAAAATGAAGATATGAAGTGTTGTGTTCTGAACAAAATTGAGTTCATGTTTAAACCAAGAACAAATATCTGTCAATGGGCAAGAGAAACCTGTTTATTTTTCTTTTTAAATCATATACCAACTTCATTTTTTATTAAGTTCTTATAAAACAAGACGTCCTATCTTCTGTCATTTTGCTTCTCAAGTAAAGATATCTTGATTTATGAATCTTTAGACATTTGCACTGGAAAACAAGACGACAAATACTTCTGAAGAACAACACTTTTTTTGCAGTGTGATCCGAAGGTATAGTAAAAGTTATTTCTGTATTCTAGTGTTTGAAAACAAAGCTATTTATGTAAAATGAATTAAAAAAAAGAAATGAAGATCCATTGGAAGTTGTATTTTCATTCTGCTTATACAACTCATTATTTGCATCCTAGACATTTGCATATAGAGAACATAGTTGCCTTCAATTTATTCCTTAAATTGTCCTTGCTTGGCCTCTGAAAGGTCTCACTCCAAAGAGAAAGGAAAACTTGAAATCGCATCATATGACCCCTTTAAATTTACCTTCATAAAACCTGTTGATGATTTTTAAATCAGTTGATTGTGTTTTGTTAACATGCTTTGTGAAGTTCTTTCCCTCATTAAAGCTAATTAAAGCTAAGTTCAGCTTTGAACATTTGTCTTTTTGTCTGATTTTCAAATACTTTTTTTGCTTCAAATCAAAGTTTGTAGTGTGGTTCACCTCATAGCCGACTGGTTTGGTTCATGGCTTATAACCCTTTATTAAAGTCTTTACAAATCCCTATTGGAAAAATGAATGGAAAATATATTTCTGGAACCAACTCATCTGAAAAAGTGTGTGAGAACTGTTGCACTATTGATGATTATTGACAGGAAGAGGAAATTACGGTAATGAAATTACCGAGGAATTGCATTAGTCCAACACACATTTTGCAACAAAAGTCACATCACAAATTTTGACTAATTATGTATCTTTATGATCTTTATGATATGTCCAATCAGATAAGGGGGGTGCACTATTGATGATTATTGACAGGAAGAGGAAATTACGGTAATGAAATTACCGAGGAATTGCATTAGTCCAACACACATTTTTCAACAAAAGTCACATCACAAATTTTGACTAATTATGTATCTTTATGATATGTCCAATCAGATAAGGGGGGGGAAAAAATCATATTTCATACTTCTAATCTAATCTAATATTTTTTGGAAATACTCTGTGTGTTGTGATAACATTTTGGTGAATTTAATTTTAATACTAAAACTTGTAATACTACATTTAATTTTTTTGTTATATAAATGATACATTTTCAAATGATTGTCATTCCATTTTAATTCGTTTCATTTTTAAATCTTCCTAAATAGAAATCTGAACTACAATTCTGTATCCTTTTTCAAACTTCTGTTGGAACTGAGCTGGAATTTGAAAGAAATGCTAACGTTTCTCTTCCGTGCTGTCTTGTCAAAGGTGAAGATGTGGTAGATTTAACATGTGAAGGCTCTGAACCTGCGGTTGTTGACCTCACCAATAATGATTCTATCGTGGTGAGTCTTGAACACTTGTATTGAAACTTTCTACTAGTAAAGGTTTGAATGAAGCATGTGCTTTCCATTCTTGGGTTGTGTTGATATTATTAAGGGGGTTTTTAATGAATTCTGTCTATTTTCTTTCTCACCACTCTCTCATCGTCCCATTGGATAAAGGTTGTGGAAGATGGTAATGTATCGTTCTGTTTATGAAAAATGTCACAACTGCGTCTTTGTCTTACTAAACTGCAGTTACGTTCATGTTTGTGTTGCAGGTGTTCGAAGCAGACGCGGACAGGGCACAGAGAGTTATGTACTGAGCAGTGATGAAGAGGAAGAGTCCAGTCTTAGACTCAGTCCAGGCTTACTGTCCTCTCTACATGCCAGCTCGAGGGCCAGGTACACACTAGGCTTGCTGCGATAGATGGTGTTTTCTGTTATACCGGTGTTAAGCCGCAACACCGGTTACGTCATTTGCCCACCGCCCCCCCACCGTCGTTTTGATTTTTTTTATAGTAACAAAAATCTTGTTATTTTATAGGGGTAGGCCTATATGGTGTTTTTTTTTATTCGTTTTGTTAATAAAAGTTCTGAGTTTGACGTTGTTGTTGCTTGAATTGAATCAACGCGGAATTGCCCCTAATTTGAAAGTGAAAGTAAAACGCGCACGGCGCTTTTTCAAGCTATTTGAAAGCCGAGGGAAAGAGGGAAAACTCAAACGAACAATTGCTTGATGCTGAATTGCTCTAATTTGAAAGTGAAAGTAAAATTCGCACGGCGAAAATTTCCTCACGGTCACAACCCTAGTACACACACTCATCCATCATCACACAGATTAGATTGGTCTAGAACTAAATGAATGTAGTCCTCATCCTTGTATGCAAATTGTGGATGCAGCTTTGTGAATTGTTACATTTGAAAGTTAATATGCACTACAAGATTTACACTGATTTGATTTGTGTTGATTTGTTTTGTGGTGTTCTGCTGTCCGTAGGTCTACGCCAGGGGCTGTTAGCTGTCCTGTTTGCATGGATGCTTATTCAGAGGTAAGTGGTTATATGTGCAACTAATCACATAAGCAGTTCATTTATACAGTTAGTTCACCCCAAAATTAACTTTCTGTCATCATTTACTCACCCTCATGTCATTCTAAACCCATAATACTTACAAACTTTTTGAAGCTCGAAAGTTTTGTTTGAATGCGCTTTGGAGGGACACAAATCTCTCAGAATTCATTAAAAAAATATCTTCATTTCTGTTTCAAAGATGAACGAAAGTCTTATGGGTTTGGAACGACATGAGGGCGAGTAAATGATGACAATGTTCATTTTGGGGTGAACTATCCCTTTAAATCAACCCTGAATGAACATTCTGTCATCTTATACTCACACTCATGTTGATACACTTTTTTTGGTGGAACACAAAAAGAGACTTTTAAAAGAATGAAAATAAATGATGACCAGGGGCTTTAAAGCTCCAAAAAGGATGGAAAGTGCAAAGAAAGAGAAGCAATAAAATGTTTTGGGTTTGCAGTGACATGAGAGTGAGTGAATGATGAACCATTTTGATTTTGGATTGAAGTTAACTATTTAATTTAACTAACTATTTCTTTTAGTCTATAATGTGTTTCTCTGGTTAATTGAAATGTCTTGCTTTGATTCCATTTTCAGATCATCGACAGTGGTCGGCTCATGGTCTCCACAAAGTGCGGCCACCTTTTCTGCAGTCAATGCATCCGCGACTCTCTCAGCAGAGCTCACAGCTGCCCTACATGTAGAAAGAAACTCACACACAAACAGTATCACCCAATATATATCTAATGGTAAAGATCAGCCTCACAAAGTTCTGTAGTACGCTCTCATGAAACAATTTCACAGCTCCATATTGTCACTGGCTGTTTCATATTTCACACATCAATGCCGATGTGTGATATCAGATGATCAGATCAGATGATATTTGGCATTATTTTGACTTGCGGGATTCTGTTGGAACTAAAAGGGCATTTAGTCCAGGATTAATTATTTTTTAAAATTGTGAATATATATATATATATAAATATATATATATATATATATACACACTGTTTTGAAGTTGAAGGAGTTTTGGGAATATATCCTGACATTGAGTAGCCTGGGTTTAAGGTCTTGGCTGCTATATTAGTATTTTTATTTAATTTTTTGTCAACCGTCCAGCTTGTAGTATTGAATAACGTCATTAGGATCCAGTTCAAATTAAAAATGAATGACCAACTGTCACAAGTAGGATCTTGTAATGTTGTAGTTTAGTCTTGAACAAATAGGTCCCTGCTGTGATGGTCTCTATTCTTGTTTAGTGAAATTTGTGAGCCTGTAATGATAGTTTGGGGCGCATTGACTTCATCTGGTGGACAACTTTTAGGTCGCCCTCCCCCTGTACCTGCTCTCCTTTGTTTGTATAGCCTTAGTACCAGCCTTGTTAGCTTTAACTGTCACTCAAAGTTAACTTGTTTTCATTCATTGTCTGTTTATTTGATCGGAATCAATATTAAGATTCTTTTGTCATTAAGCAATTTTTTTTTTTTTTTTTTTTTTTTTTTTTTTTTTTTTTTTTTTTTTTTTTTTTTTTTTTTTTTTTTTTTTTTTTTTTTTTTTTTTTTTTTTTTTTGGTAACACACTACGCCGCAATGGACTGAAATCCTGCAGCGCCCGCAAGGTCCCCCTGCTCAAGAAGGCACATGTACAGGCCCGTTTAAAGTTTGCCAAAGAACATCTAAATGATTCAAAGAAGGCTTGGGAGAAAGTGCTGGGGTCAGATGAGACCAAGATTGAGCTCTTTGGCATTAACTCAACTTGCCGTGTTTAGAGGGGGAGAAATGCTGACTATGACCCCAAGAACACCATCCCTACAGTCAGGCACGGAGGTGGAAACATTATGCTTTGGGGCTGTTTTTCTGCTAAGGGTACAGGGCGACTTCACCGCATTGAGGGGCAAATGGACGGGGCCATGTACTGTAAAATCTTGGATGAGAA